TAAAATTTGTTGTGAGAACATGTAAGAACCGGGCTGGTATTGTCTCAGTCAACAATTGGAAAGAATCACATGAGATTGTATGAATGAGAATGTAGTTCATATAATTGAGTGCAAATAAATAGGGAAATATTCATTAAAGGGTGTAGAGTTGGAGGACTTTAAAGTGACAGGTTAAAGCCCCCAACTTGATTTATTTTTTTAGGTTCTGATACGAGATGTTAGCCCCCAGGTGGAGGGAATTGAGAGAACTCTAGAGTGAGAGCTAGTATCTTCTCTACCTAGCCGGTCTTCAGAACTATTCAAACTTTAAATTAGTCAATGTTGTTTATAACATCTCTAGTAAAGGTAAAGAATATTACTGATTCATAACAAGAAGAAAGATGGTTTCATATTTAATGTTTTTCTTCTACAAAAACTCTAGTTATCTTTTGAAATTGTTGTTGTTCTATCAAAATATCAAAAATACCAAAAATATTTAAATTTTCATTATTACAAAAATCATCTTTAGTTTAGATAATTATCTTTTTATTAAAAATAGAAAGTTTGTTGTTCAATAGTGCATGTTGCGTATTCTCCCTGTGGGTTCGATATTCAGGTCTTAATTCAAAAATCTTATATTACTTGATAACGATACGTATACTTGCGTAGTATCCCAATATATATAAATTAAAAGTTAAATTCTTATTTTTCTTCAAGATTAAGTTTTTGATTTTGTTACAAAGTAAGGAAATATAAGTGAAATATAATATGAATTATTGTTTTACTGTGCATATTAGCAGTATCCAGGGATCAATTACATTATATTTTTTTAGTGATGACATCATATTTTTTTAGTGATGTATGTTGCATAGTAGATCTTGCACATTGCATTTGGGTTTGATTGGCCACCCCGACACGGTCAACCTTTCTTATGGACTAGTCAGCCACCCCATCCTAGTTGACCGATCACTTTGGTCCGACCGATTGTCCTAGTCGGCCGACCGATCACGTTATTCTAATCAGCCGCCCTAACCCGATTAACTGATCTTTTTGTTTAGACTGGTCGTCCCAACCCTGTCAACCGACCACTTTAGTCCAACCGGTCGCTTGACCAGCTCGGCATTACACTTTGCCTTGACCAGCTGACTCAACCAGCACTGCATCACACTTTGCTTCAACCGGGCGTCTTGAACCTATCGACATTACACTTTGTCTTATCCAGCTACCACGGTTTGGTCGACACTATACTTTGCCTCGACCGGCCGCCCCGACCCAATCTGCATTGCACTTAGCCTTAATCGACCACTGCGACCCAGTCTTCATCACACCTTCCCATGTTCAGTCACTTTGACCCGGTCGGCATTACACCTTGCTTCGTCCAGCCACCCTGGCCCAGTCAACATTACACTTTGCCTCGATCGGTTGTCCCAGCCCGATCAACCAACCACTTTGGTATGACTGGCCTCCCCTATCCAGTCGACCATTCACTTTGATTTGGTCAATCACATTAGCCCAACTGAGCCCGTTGGCTACATTATCCCGGGTTGACCACCATGATCAATCCAACAGGCCAAACAACCAACTTCATTTGCACAACATGTGTTTTGTGTGTGCATCAGTATTGATTGGTTGACTTTGCATTAGCGCATTCATCACTTTCACCCTTGTCGTGGATTTCGGAGCACATACCCTCATATGTATGCGACGAGTACTCATGCCTCCCAATAGACATTACTCCCCATTTGCTTCTCAACATCCTCATACCATTTAGCATCACATCACGAATGGTTTGCACTTGCACTTCCTACCTTCGTGTGTTAGCTTGCATATCACCTTGTATGTTTCATGACTTATAAATTTGCAAGTAATGCACGATTTGTGTTTCGCACACATTTATCCCTCACATTCACTATTATTACTATCTTCCCTTCTCAAACATAGGAGCTTTTTTCTCTCTCTTATCTTCACGTTTACAAGAACTTTTCTTTTCTGAAATTGAAAGCTTAAGCTTCAATCTCCCTCTCTCTCACCGTCCCACTTTTGTTCTTTTTTGCTTCTATTGGTGTCATACTTCAATACAATGAAACCGTTTTCATATATAGTGCTTAAAGGTGGCTTTGAATTTATTAGGTTGATAGAGTATGCATCATAATGTTGATATTAGGTTTAGGATGGCAAGTAATAAGTTTATAAGAGTTTGGTTGATGGTTATAGATAGAAGCTTGTAAGAGTTCGGTAAGATTTATCAATTACGATTATTTTTTTACATTTCTAGGTGCTTGAGTGGATTTTATTTGATTTTGCCTTTTATAAAAAGAACAAACTAAATTTATTACAAGATTCAAATAGGTGGATTGTTAGAAAGTTAGAATAACAATCAACTAATTGATTGTCAACTAAATTTTATATGAGAAGTAATAAATTTAAAATACATAAGGGAAGTTGATCAATGTGGTTTGGGAATTTTGAGTATCCATTTATTTTCAAGATTTGATAGAGATCTAGTCATTAATGGATGTTTAACTTAATTTAATACCAACCAATATTAATCGAGATGAGTAAACTTTATAGTTGTGGTGCGCCCATTAACATTATTGCAATACTGAACTCAAATCTTTATAAAACACTAAGATGGATAAATAATCACTCTACCACAAAAAAACAGCAATAAATAATAGAAAAATATAGAAAAGTTATGAATAATCAATTATAAAATATGATTGATTAATTTATAGATTTTTTAATTTTGGAATGACAAATTTTCAAAATATTATGAAATATAAAGATTTATGCAAAATGTAGGGGTTGCCAGAGCAACAAGAGCATAGTGTGATACAGCCAATGGAGCAATGAGAGCATAGAGAGGCATGTGGCTAACCCCCGCTTCAGGGGATAATGGAGACTAGGGGCACTAGGCTCTTAGTCATGTAAATTGGCGGACAATATGAGAAAAGCAAGCATAAGAAGCAGGTGGTTCATGAAAGAGCATAAAAGTCTAGCACAGAGAAAGAAAGCTGCTGTAAAATACAAAAAGGTTAACTCATGAATTCTTATGTCTTTATATATCTAACACCTGAACTTTAATTTTTATATACATGACATATTTTTATCCATGGAAATATCTATTCACCTTTTTAAAATTAAATTGGGTGATATGAATCCAAAAAGTGAAATTTAAATGTTAGATAAATGGGTGGTTACGTATGTTAACACCTCTAAATGAAATAAAGTACAAAATAGATTTTTGGAGAGCTTGTCATAGGGTATATTACAACAAATCTGCTGGAACTTGAAAGAGCATCTATAATCATGTACTTGAAGAGGAGAGACTTTCTGTTGGAAGAACTTGAAACAGCATCTATAATCATGCACTAGAAAAGGAGAGATTTCTTCCTCAATTACGCACTCAAAAGGATTTAAATTAAGTGAAAGTAATTAATCACAGAAATCCCATCAAATTCCAACACCAAATCCATTCAATTCCGAGTATTGACAACCAATCACACTGTCCATCATCCATGTAAAGGTGACTATACAATGACAAATTTGAGGGGTCCCACCTAAATGCTTCTTGCTCTAAAGAATTCCACCTAGGTCAATCAGAAGGTAAAATTCCTCCGAACATGTGAATTATGCCCTAGTTCCAGTTCGTAGACCCGGTCAATTAGAAAAAGTGTTCCATCTTTAGGAGGAAGATTGGACAATGAGACTGTTTTTTCACCTGATGATTTGATGGAACTTTGAGGGTTATTGTTGCAGACTAGATTGTGAGGATGCACTTTATCACGAGCAAATGCCTCTATTCTTTAGAAATTCTAAACAAATTCTCCTTCTTAAAAAAAAAAGAATTCACCAATCATGCTGACAAAAGTACATAGTGCAGACGATGAATCCTTATTTTAAGAGGAATAGTAGCTTTAAGTGTACATTGTCTCATTACATAATAGATTATTATAAGTTTAATATGACCTTTTTTGTAAATTTTATTAAATATTATGTTGATTAAATGTGTTGTTGCTTTCATTTAATGCGGGCACTTGTTTTAGAAGAAGACAAGGACAAGAAGCTCAACATTTGAACAGCCCTGACTTCTCACCCCCAAACTTCTCCTTTTCAACTCTCCCTTCATATCTCTTGAACAGAAATAAGGCTTCATTACTGCAAGGAGAAATGCCATCTTCATTTTCTTGGAATCCTTCTCCACGTGAAGGAAGAAGCCTGGCTGAGCTACTTGAGAAGCAGCAGGAGCCTTTTCTACCTGAAATCTACCTCATAGAGAATTGATGCTCAAGGAGGTTGATAACATCTCAGTCCAAGCCTTTCTGTTGGCCTCTGAATTTTTGCAAAAGACTTGGGATTAGACTGAGCAGCCATGGAGTTACAGTTGCTCTTTTCCTCAAGCAAACATTGGCTAAGTTTATTTATAGCGACACTGCTACCAGAGAGCATAGAAGATCGAGTTTCTCCAGCTGTCTCTCAAAAAAATCAAAGCACCAGCTTATCCCTATGCCTGCTGTAGAGCTGCACTCTGCTGAAACTTTTTCGTTTCATAATCACAGTACGAAAATCAATTATTTTTCTTTACGTAATATTTTTCCGTGTGTGTACTTTTTATAAAATCAGTAATCTCATCGATCAAGTCACAAAAAACATCATTTTTTATTTAATTATACTATAATGTTTGTTGCAAACAGTTACAAATGAGTGCAGATCAAAACCAATAATGGATTCAGTGCTGAACAGGGCCTACATAATGTTTCAAGTAGTTCATGATAATTCAAAGCCTCCTAAGTATGCTGAGAAAACAAATATGTTCAACAACAGACGCATCAGGATCAGGCATGCACTTGACGGTGTTAGACTGCAAGCAAGAGAGAGGATACGAAGCATTGATGGTATCTCGAGCTCAGTTGATCAGATGATCGAAAAGGCATCCATGAATGAGCTCATCCAGCCATTGGAGTGGCATAAGGGAGATATTAACAAATGGGCTTCAGATTTCTCAAAATTGGAGTGGAACCAATTCAAACGCCCTCAAGTCAGAGTAGTTGGACTTCTCATAGAGGCTGCCATATTTGATGACCTCAGGGAAGAGGTTGTTTTAGATATGTTTGTTCTAAATTGATACTAAATAAAGCCAAATGTAAGCTCTTTCATTTCTTTTGCTATTTTTTCATGAAACAAAAATATTTTCTATGGCAAAAAAAAAGCCTAAAAGAGACTATTAATCTCAGAAGGAGAAGGTTAAATGAAATCTCAAGACATTTGCATACCAATTTTTTCTCAAGTAGGTAGGTGGGTGAAACCGGGCATGTGAGAACTAATTACATGCAAAACCGCTTGAGGTGGAAACAGTAAATGAGTTGATGCGGACATGATGGTGTTGGTAGTGTCATGTTCATGGCTCCATAGCATATAAGAAAATAAACAAATGGGTGATCATGGTGTCGTTGTTATTGTTTCCTTGTTTCAAAAAGGTAGCGATCAAGTCTATTGTCTGTTTCTGATGAAAATGCTGTAATTGAAATATTTTTTGACCTTCTTTGAATTTTGTAATGTTGCCCGGCCACTTTGCCCTAAAAAGTTCTTCTGCTTCTGTTGGCTCGGGACTATGGCATCTAGCCATAAACACTCTTGTCAGTTAAATCATTAGTTGCTAAAAATTAATTAGTCCATCTTCTTCTTCTTTTTCTTCTTCTATCTTTTAAGAAAAATAAACTACATGTTTTCAATTTTCCTTATCCTAAAATGAAGGGTGAATATTTGAAGTTTGAATATGTATTTATATATGAAGTAGAAAGAATCTGAAAAGCACTAAGCTTTCAACGGACAACAAATCTGTTGCGTTGGAGAACAAAGTCAGTGAGGCACTATTGATGAAGATGCCCCATGAAAGAACTAATTCATAAGCAAACAATAGAATTTTGTTGTACCTGATCTTGTGTTTTATACAAATAAAGTATTTAATTATGAAATAAGATTTGTGGAAACAGATAGCCAGCATGAGTTTCACGTAAAACCTAGACTGACTTCCTTGAGTTTTTCAATAAGAATATACTTGTACCAAAAATTAGTATCTACACTCTTTGCTTTCTTATTCTAATGTGATTCTCTTCAACTAGTATGTTGAGGCTCCATCACAAGTTAATCATCCCATTATCACAAGCAAATGAATAGATGGAGTGAGACCGCAAACTTAATTAGAAAACTAAAAAAAGGGTTTTGGGCTTCTTCCAAAGTCAGATTTACCCTTCGGAAACTAAAGATGTTGTTTGTTTTAGCTGCATCAAAATGAAAACTTTCAAATCAATTTAGGTGGAAGCTTTTTCAACAAAAAAAGTAAGGAAGCAAAGTGAAACTGTTGAATCCGAAAATGCCCAAGAAGCACACTGAATGAATAGAGCGTCACAAAGAAAGAAGAGAGAGAAAGAAAGTTATGAACAATAAAAACACATAACCTTTATTCAAAAGTTGACCCCCATTTATCGACATAAGGGTATGGGTTTAGAATTATAAGTTTGCCCTCTAATCTTTAGTCTCTTAGGGGGTTCTTTTAGTACATTACATGTGTCAGATATATTAAATGACAAGTGAGTTTATCTGATTGGTGTGGGTCTCATTGATCGAGGGGTGTGCAACCGATCATATTCCCTTGATCTGCCTCATAGGCTAGTAGTCGATTGTCACGAATTGGTTTGACGGGTTAGCCTTACGCCGAGCGTTAGCCTTTTAGTGGCTCGATCCTTGGGTTTGACTTTAAAGGGCTCTTCTTGCTCTAGAGTTGTCGACTGGTTGGCATATTCCTCCGTTCATCGTCATTTGACTTAATCGTTGGATCTTCTCAAGGTTTGTGTCAATGTATTTTTGTACACATATTTAGTTTTCTGGTTTTCTTACTTTTTTGAAAGCCATGTTGCGCATAAGAATAAATTAATTTTTTCCTAATACAAAAATAAAAATTATGAATCCAATTTATGACCACATAATTGCTTAATAAATGACTTTCCTGGATTTTCGTGCATAGGTTGTTGTAAATAAGCCATGAGAGAGTAGCGGTTGTGTGCGCCTCTCCTCTCCCTTCCCCTTGCACTGGTTTTCCTTCTACTTGAGCCTATCACGATGTCTGGCGAAGAAGCCTCTAGTGCTGTTATGGATGCGCTTCTCAGGGCTCTTGACAACAAGCAAGCCAACGCCCTAAAGGTGGAAGTGAAGAGAAAGACGGTATAGGAACACCTGCAGGGAAAACAAGCAATAAGAGAGTAGTAAAAAAATCCCAAGTCAATGACCAAGAGGTTCGGGTAGAGTCCTCTAACTCTATTGTTGATTCAGAGCAGAGGAAACTTTGTCAACAAACCAAGGGTTGGTCAGTCGACCCTTCAGTGGGGCCTATGGTTACAGCCGATGATCTGGTAGATACGTTGAATGTGCCTGCTAAACCTATCTTCGAGCCATCAAACACTCAGGTTGTCAAGGTCAAATAGATGGTTGAGGGCAACATCCTACCCAAGTCACCAGGAGATGAACCTCCCCTTCCGGCCGGAGGACAGGGAAAAAATGGTGAGGGCGCAACCTCTATCACCACAATTGAATGAAATAAAATTATTGGTACCAGATTTTAACTAATTAGTATATAATTTCTCTATTCACGATGCTTTTTGATGCAACCATAGAAATCCTGACGATCGATTCTCTTTCATCAAATCTTGGCATTGATCCTGTGGAGGATGTTACTGTCATGGACCAAAGGTTGGCCAAAAGTGGTCAGCCCTGCAACGAAGGACAAGGGTCGGAGTGCAAAGATACCCCTAGTATGGCTAGAGAGGAGGAGACCAAGGGACTCTGAGTGTCATCTGATTCTTTTGTACATCATCTCGCAGAGATGAAGGAACGCTCTACCTAGGCTATGGGGCACGCTTGAGTCATGCGAAGAATGGACCAAATGTAAGAGGAGATTGCTACCTTGCATGAGGAGTTTTAAAATTTTTGGAGGGAGATGAATGTCGTTCGGGAGGAGATGGCATGCCTCTATTCAAAACTGATGGCCATTAGGGGAACCCCTCTGTTCAAGCAGGGATCAAACGAGCTGAGTGTTTTAGGCTAGGGGGTGAGTTCTTGTATGAGAGACCACTTCATTGAGAGCGTTTTCTTAGGTGAAGCCATTAACAACTGCCTAGTGAGGTTCTTCCTCTCAGAAAAGTTTTTCGAGGGGTTTTATGCAATATGCATTTGAAAGTGAATAAACAAAATTTTATTTTCAATCACAATTAATTTTTTTACCTCGTGTATTTTCTTGATTTTTCACATCACATCATAATGTCATGTGAGTGGTCCTTCATATTCCTTTTATGCATAAATAGACGCTTCATTATCCCCTAATTGTCTTTTCTCTTTTCTGTCTCCAAAATCTTTCATCTCCTCTTCTCTTTCATCCTACCAGATGACAAGAAAGTTTTCGCAGGAGACCTTTGGCATGATCCTGTCGCAAAAATTTCTGTTCTATCTACGGTACAGGTAAAGAAGATCCAAGTTCTCCATGTCCTTAGCCCTTCAATCCAGCTTACACTAGTTGGCATTCACGAGCAAACTACGAAACAGTTTAGCGTAGAATTGGTTTTCTACAAAGACCAATTTAAACAGGGTCTTCGGTTGCCACTATGTAAAGAGGCAGTCAAGTTTCAATCGATACAATATCATTCTAGCAAACAATCTTTCAAATTCTATGGCCACAATTATGACATTCATCGTTTTTTGATGGAGCATGAAGATTTCATAGACAATCGAGTTATTCAATCCCTTCTTCTCGTTTAGGATTGGTTGGGATGGCTACATCCAATTTGTTGCGAGTTATAAGGTTTAGTTGTTGGGCCTCAAGAACAAAACAAAGGTTTAGAAGATTATGTTCCTGATTGTTTCCTACACGAGTGGTTGAGGGATTCACACCCTTAAAATGGAGTGCGGCATGAAGATGGTAAGAGTTTTGTCGGGACATCTCTGAGCTCAAGGATTGTTGATTGAGGGTCAATGGCTCTCTCTATTCCAATACCTTGATACCAAGGTTTTTGCTCGCATGATCCGATCGGATGGTGATAACAACATGACCGAGGGGTTGTAGGTTGCCTCCGACAACTGCGAGGTGGCTCGGGAGAAGGTTGTTGTAGAGCAGGTTATCCTTAAGAAACCACAAGGGAAGGGCGTCCCTTCCCAACTCGAAAGAGGCAAAAGGCTCTGGTTCGCTTGGATCAGCCAAAGGGGATGCCGAAGGTGAGCAACATCTTCAAGTTTTTTTGCTAGATTGTCGTGTTCTAGATTTAAGGAATAAATTATGGTGTTATATGCAAGTTTTTTAGAGAGGAGTGAGGAGGAACCTCTCCCGACTCCCAGTATCTTGGCTTCTGGCAATTTGGTGGGGGAGCCAGCGGTTAGTTTACAAAATGTGACCCCCGGTGGGACTTCCTTTATAGGCCTGCAAGAATGAGGGGAATCTAGCCAAGCCTCCCACCCCATTTTAGTTGGAACAGATTCCCAGGAAAGCATAGAGAAGACACATTGGGAGCAGGGGATATCCATCGTATGGAAGGAAAGGCTCTCACCCCCGATAGAGGTTTTCCCTCTCTTCCTCTCCCTCAAATAAGAGGAAAGGGTCTTCACCAAATTGTTCTTTTTTGCATGAGCGACGAGCTGGTGTGTGGATGAACAGCCACTACACTCTTATTGACAAGGAGACGGAGTGGTTTCCCAATACTTCCTTGAATGGGGATTATATGTGTACCTTGGTGGAGATGTTTTGGTCCTCCGCTTTTGAGAAAGTGTTGTAATCGATTGGTAGGCGAAATATGTTTCATACGACTAATCGATACCACACTTTTTCTTGGGAGGCTTCACACTTCTAAGCAATCTCTTTGATAGAGTTAAGGAATAAGTCAAAAAGTCAACCTCAAGGAACCAAAATCTGAAACAAAGGGTTGTTATGGTTGAGGAGAGGTTAAAGTTATCCATGGATGAGAGGAAGTCGGAGGTTCAAAAGCATGAGACTCATATGGTTGCTCTCCTTACTGAGAACCAAGAGCTGAAAGAGAAACTGTCCTCAATAATAACTCGAGCGGAACATGTGGAGGGCCTTTCTCGTTAGATAAAAGTCTGTACTACCATTATTATCAAAAGATTTGTGAAACAAAAATTGGTCGACCCTAAATGGCTGGAGATGGAAGAGTTTGCTACACTTCTTTCAAATCCCGATGTAAGTGGAAGGGTTGGCGATGTAGAGGGAGTGGAGGAGGCTGATGAGAAGGATGCTGAGGACGTCATAGAGTCTTCCAATTTTCAACCCTGAAATGTTCTCGGGAAATTTTTTTTGATGTGATGTAAGTCTTATAGAAGTGTAAATGAAGAAAAATTTTTCGTAACTGAAAGAACTTCCTATAAATGAATAATTTTCTTTTTTTTTTCATTACCTCAATGAAGGAATCTATTGTTTTTTACTTTGTACCTCTTGTTTTCTTGTGGTTGTGTTTTCCCTAGCTGATCGGCTATTAATTCTCAATGATGAAATCACTTGGTGAGCTAATTGAGGAGGGTTGCAACCTCCTTTAGATTTAATTAGCTAGACTACAAGGACGATCACCATATTGCCCATCATGGAGCTTGTCACTTTTTGTCTGGAAAACCATTTCTAAAGCTAAGGATGATTGTTGTGTACCCCTAGTGGAGCTTGTCGTTGTCGGGTGGTGAATCATCCAAGGGCCAATGATGATCACCGTATACGCTTTGCAGAGCTTATCACTATCTAGTGGCAAATCATCTCAAGCGCCAAAGATAATCGTTGTATATCCCTCACATAGCTTGTCGTTGTTGGGCGACACATCATCTCAAGGGTGGACCAGACGATGTTTGGCATCCAGTAGACTGTTTTATATCTGATCGGGTGGCGTGTGTCACGACTGATGTGAATACAAAGGTGATCTTCATATACCTCTTGCGTAGCTTATCACTATGTCGTGGCAAATCATCTCTAGGGTGTTGGAACATCGTTCATTACTTTTCAATTTTGTGGGCCCTAGTCGCTAAGATAGACTTCCAAGGTTAGGTTCCCTTATCTATGGGAGGTGGTCCCCTGGATGATTGTCGTCGTAACCATCGTGGAGTTTGTCACTACGAGGCAGGTTCAGTTATTTTGCTTGTTCTTAGCTGGAGGGCTTAGATTTGTGGAAAGAGAGGTGCCTCGGCTTGCCCGAAGGGGATTTTTTCTTTCCATCAAACAATAATGATCATCATCGCCATGTTATTTCATTTATAGGAATGTTAGTTCCCTGAGCGAAGTTAACTTTGCTTAGTTCCCCGGGTTATTCAACCTAGAAAATATATCATAAACGACAAAATTTAGAAAAGAAAAGCAATCTATTTATCCTTTTTAGCTTCCACCGGTTTAGAGAAATTTGCCAAGAAATCTATCGTTGTTCGAGGAACATAGGATATGTGTATAGTAAGTACGTTTTTAAGAGTGAGCATAAGTAGCAATTTTACCCCTTGATGACTACGAGGTGGAAGCATCCTCAATCTCATCACCTGTTATTTTATGCTTCTTTTTCAACATCGCCAGAAATTCATGATACTCATTAATAAATACCACACATGTCCCTCTCTCTTTCCATGCTATCATTAAATTTTCCCAGTAGCCCCCTCTTCCGCCTCTTCTACCACCACAACCTCCAAATTGTCCACGTTCACCTGTCTCTCTCCTTAGGTGGCCTATGATGAGCCTTGCTTAAATGGCCTACTTCAGCACAGTTATAGCACCTGCGAGTCTCCCCCTAAACACCTTTTATACCTTAGCTCGGGGCAGGCAAAACCGATCATGTACTTGGAAGTCAACTGGGCTCAGAACGTAGCCTCATGCGAATCTTCTCCTATATCATCTCAGCGATAGCCTCATCTAGTGAAGGTATCTTCGTTTGGGCTAGAAGGACTCATCTCCTCTGATCAGAGACCATGTTCATATGGGCCAGAAACTGCACAGTCCTCGTCTGTGCAGAGATCTCCCCATTCCTACCCCGGATCACCACAACTCGACATCGATGAGAAGATATCAATGTATGTCCACAGTAACTCCAGATTTATGAAGTACACCTGAATCGATCGATCACCCAATAACACCACCTCAATCCAAACAGAGATCCTCTTCAGCTTTGTCCAGTTATCCCTCACCTTTCGAATGACATCTAATGAAGAAGCAATCGATATAACCATTGAGCATGGTAACTAAATGTAAAGAAAGATGTGTGTGGTCCTTCACTCATCCCCTCAGCATTGTCACTCTTTGGCCCGTCTGTAGCCTGATATTCCGCTAGTCTCCTCCCTACTAGAACAGCTTGATCCAACACGACCAACTCAGATATGTAGTCGGTCCATCAAGTTTCAAGTCCACATGAGGGAGATCTAGCTTCAACCGCATCGAAGTACGTGCTGATGGTGACTCCTGTCAAGACGCTAGATCCATGTATGAGCTCGATCAATACCTCTAGAATCTCAGAATCGATCTTCCCCAGAAGCTTCAATCATTTGCCTATCGCACAATATATGTCTTCTGACATCCTCAATCACAATGATTCAAGTTTAGATCACACTCGACTTCCATCCTCTTCTTGACAACATATTGATCTATCTCATCATCAAGGATGAGATCCTCCTCATAGCAACCCATTCCTCGGGATTCCTTCCTCTTCTTGCCCTAATTTTGATCTATCTCATCATCAAGGGCGAGATCCTCCTCATATCAACCCATTTCTCGGGATGGCGAGGTCAAAAGAAAGAGAGGCGAGGCTAAAAAAGAGGAAAGGTAGCTGGGTGAGGGACGAAGGGTGCGGTGGTCTGAAAAGAAGGGAGCAACGGGATGGCGTAGCTAGCAGTTTGATGGAGATGGGAGCGACGAAGTTGGCGGCCTGTTGGAGATGGGAGCGGCAAAGCTGGAGACTGGGGTGGCGGAGCTACTACCTGAAAGAGGGAGCAACGGTTGTCTAGTGGAGGGAGAGCCAGTTAGGGATTTGCTCTGTCAAAAAGAAATAAATTGATCAAAAACTGATTATATTCATTAATGACTTGGGCTCATATATAGCATTACAACTATTTTAAAATAAAATTTTATTTGCCAATAGGACCTCAAATGGATACAAATCTCAACATAAACTATGTGCTGAAAGGATAGAAAACATGCATTTCAGTAAAATATAAAATGTTTAGAACATCTACATTAAAATTAAATGCCATCAATGTGAACTCTTCACAAATTCAAAAGTAAAATGCCACCAACATTGCTTTGGACGATATTCAGTACCGTCTGTCATGTTTCATTTCTTCCATCTTTTTCAATCTCTGCCCTTGGGCTACTCCCTCCGCTACTGGATAATGAGCCAAAGCTAGTCTTCTGCAACACAGCTGTTGGTGATGAATCCACCATTGGATTTGAGCTCCAACCATCTATCAGGAGGAGGCTCATTGAGGAGGATGAAATTAAATTTCCACTAAGATCTTTAGCGGTGGTGCTTTTGTTGGTTAAGACCTCCCCAAGAGGGCCACCAATGGAAGGTTCCCAAGAAATTGGCACCCAATTTGGGTATCTTTGGCTGCTATCACCCAAGGTATTGAAATCACAGGAATGTCTAAGTGGAGAAATTGGTTGTTTGACATGGTTTGGTGAGGAAGAGGATGACTTGTCTGATAAGGGCATTGGGATTGAAATAGAGAGCTGGGTTCTATCTGATTGCATCTCATCAACATCAGACCAGGCCAATGTTGAGCACTCCGATGGATTGTTAGGCAAGTCATCAAAGAAGTGTACAAGGTAATGGGAACTTGAAGGAAGATCGTTGATTTCAGAATCAGGCACAGCAAAACTGATGCTCTCTGAGTGGGAGGTTCCTTGAAGATTAACAGCGGGATCAGTGCAAATTAAACCAAAATCTGCTGGAGCTGACGTTCCTTCATAGGGTTTCTGCTGCTTCAATATAGGGAGCAGGGTACCTCTAGATTTTGGGCTTAAATTAGGCAGCATGGGAAGGCCTCCTGAACTTTGAACTCCTTCACTTGTAATTTCTTTTTTTGTTGGCAGTCTGCATGAATAAATAAAATAACGAGAATTCTCTTTGATTATTGTATATTAGTAAACTAAAAAACTAACTGTGATATATAGGTTCCATTGGAGCGTCCATCGAACGTAATATTTGTGAACAATGTGTTCAGACAACTCGTGTTTGGCTCATTCATTAACAAATGAACCGAACATAAATACAATACTTAGGCTTGATTCTTTAAATGAGACTAGCACAAATTAAGCTTCATTCATTAATTTTCAGTTCATTAAAAGCTTATTAAAATATGTATTATGTATTATATACATACATACATACATACATACATATATTATAAAAGAATGACCAGAGGCCATTATACGAGCCCCTAGCCACCCTCATGTGCCCAACTAAAACAAAGCTCATTATTATTTTTACTAGCACACACAATAAACACACACACGCACACCATTTATATTATTTTTACTAGCTATGTTTGATGTGATATTAGGCATATAATGACTATTGACTTGCACTTTATTATAGACTATTACAAGAGAAGATTAAACTTCTGCATATCTAGTATATAGTAACTTTTATTTTTAATAGTGTTGAAGAGACAATATATAGTCTAATTTCGGTACTTGAAGTCCTTATGATGATCCCCCATGAGTGTATTAGTTATATTAATCACTTAGTGAATACTGGCAAACATAATGCTAGTTTAGAAATGTACCCATAATTCAAGATTTTGCTTATGTGCTTCTTGAAGATTTGTTTGGTTTACCATCAAATTTTGAATTGAGTTTACCGAATCTAGTTCCAAGCACAAACATAATTTTCAAGACATCGCATCCTTTGATGACAATAAAACTTTAGGAGCTCAAAGTTTAATCACAAGAATTACTAGGCAAAGGAGACATAGAATTTAAACTTGAGGAGCACCAATTATGTTTGTAATGAATCAAGATAGAAACATGAGATTATGCATCAACTAGAGAGAGTTGAATAAGATGATCCTGGAAAATAAATAACATCTACCATGTATAGGTTATTTATTTGACCAACTATAAGGTAGTTCAGTGTTTTCTAAAATTGTCCTCTGATCTGAAAATCAATAATTGGATATTATAAATGACAATTTGCCCAAGATTATTTTCCAATCCTAACATGGTCATTATGGCTTTTTAGTAATGTCATTTGGATTAAATAATGCCCCAACTATCTTAACAAATCATATGAATAAAATCTTCGAATCTCATGTAGACCATTTTGTTGTCATATTCATTGATAATATTTTGATCTAATCTTAAGAGTGATAGGAGCATGTCCAACATCTCAAAATAACCTTGAAAATGCATCGAGAGATCAAGCTCTATGTGAAATTCTCCCTTTGGATATATTACTAGTAAGGAATTCGACCCTATTATGGTCAAGGCAGTGATGAATTGGCCAATTGTTACAGCAATTTTTTTCTGGCTTAACCAACTAATATAGAAGATTTGTCAAACTTTTCTCCAGAAGCACTACTCCTATAACTATATTGGCTCAGAAGTCCATTAAACTTTATAATTTGATGGCTATAATAAAGTTTTCATAAGCTCAATAATTGCTTATATCTACTCATAACCTTACCATTTCTTCTGGCATAGATGGGTTTTAAAAATATAGCATTGATCCATATCAAAATTTCAGTTGTTTCAGATTATAATGTGATAAAGAGGTAGTTCATCTCACATTGAAAAGTCTAAAGACATCAACTTTGTAGCATTCATTATAAATTTTCACTGATATAAGATTTTGAATTAACTTTTTACTTACCAAAAAAAATGAACTGAAATAGTTGAGTTGACTCGAGTTCATGAAATACTATAATTTAAATATTCAATACCACTTGAGTAAAGCTAATGCAGTCATAAACGTTTTGATCAAGGAATCTTCAACATATGTAGCATAGATGATTACTTAGAAGTGATTACTAATATTTGAGATGAAGCGAATTCTAATTGAAAAAGTACCTCTATAGACAATTCCATCACATATCACATGACTAATCAATCGATAATAGTAGATGAAATTTACTCAGCTCGGATGAAAGACGTCAAATAAATGCAAATTAGAGAGCAAGTTTAAAACAACTTGAAAACTAAATCATCTATGGATCAAGCCGGCACATTGAGATTTAAAGATTAGCTATGTACTCCTAATCAAGTAGAACTTCAATAAAAGATACTGCACGAACCTCACATCACTCCATATTATATTATTCCAGAGAGTACTAAAATGTACCAAGTTGTTTTGTAGCCTAATATAAAAAATGGCGAGATAAATTCCTAAGCCAAGTATATGACTTGTCAAATGATCAAAAGCTAAATATTAGAGAACTGACGGTCTATTGCAACCGCTTCCTATTTTAGACGAAAGTGAGAAGAGATTACAATGAATGTTAAAATTGGCTTGCCTGATCAAAACAAGGTCATGATGCAATTTGAACAGTGACCGAAAAACTTACCAAGGCCGCTCACTTCTACCAATTAAACAAACTTATCCAGTGAAGATACTAACAAATATCTACATAGATAATATGTTCAACTTCTTGGAATTCTAATGTTTATTGTGTATGATCGAGATGAAATATTTATTCTAACTCATATAAAAAAGTGTACGAAAATTTGGACATGAGGTCAGAATTCAATATTGTTTTTCTTCCTCGGAAGGTCTAGGCATATTGGTTAGACATTTGAAGATTCACTGAGAGCTTCTATTCCTGATTTTGGATATTACTTGGAGGATTATACTCCAATCGTAAAGTTCAACTACAATAACAGTTTTCAAGCAAATCATAACGTGACACCTTATAATATTCTATGACCGAATGTGCAGATCTCCTTCCCATTGATTTAGAGTTAACGAGAGAAAATTCTGAGAACCTAAACAAGTTAATCGAGCTACCAAAAAGATCCATGAGATTCAAGAATGAGTATGATTAATTCAAGAGCATTTAAGAAGATATTTTAACCCCAAGTATAGATCAATTGTTTTCAAGGTTAAAAATCATATCTTTCTCAAGTTTTCATACAAAAGTGGAGTTATTCCCATTAGAAAAACCATTTTAATCCTCAAAGTCAGTAAAAAGAACCCTATAGGCCCTGAAGAATCAACATAAATGCCTATTTGTTGTTTTAAATACCATTTAACGATTCCTTTCTTAAAAAGTGAGCCATTTAGGCATAATTTACGTGGGAATTTCAAAAGTAATCCAATTTAAATATGGTCAGAAACCAATCCTAGGGGCATGCCTAATGACTATTAAAAAACAGTTTTAATCATAAATGGTCATAAAAATAAGAAATGAAACCTTTCAACAAGCTTGAGTCAAATCAAGAATGAGGAATATATTGAAAAAAGGATTATACTAAATTTCATGAAAGCAGTAGCAAAACTAAAAGTTGCATCTAATTTGACAAGCTTGATTTAGGCTTGTCCTCTTTTACTTGATTCAGAATTCAGATCACGCTTGCTAAAAAGAGCCTGATACTGTAAAACCTATACATAGAAAAAATATCTTCATTTTAACACTAAATTTTTAAGGCAAGCCGGCCAACATATAATTTACAATTGCAATAAAACTATCTTTAGCTACAGAAAATTAAAGAACATAACTAATGAAAATATTGCTCATTGCTATTCTCGTTTGGCTTGTTACAGGAGAGAAATTTGAAATGACAAGATCTTCAATAAATGATTTTCGTGAAAGCCAGAATAAAAATAAAGAATAATAAAGACAACCATTCTTGATAATAAGAAACATAAAAATAATAAATAGTGCAAATTTTAGAAATAACTATTTAGCACATGTTACGATTTAAATATCATAGCACTCCTCCACAACTTCAAGATGACATAGAAGCTGTCAAAATGAATTGTAGCAGTGAACCAAGATAAAGAAATTGAAGATTTTCTAGACTAGAATATGCCGTTTGAAGAGTAGTGCACAACCAGTACGGAAGAGAATCAAATGCATTGAGTTGGCAACTAGATCTGTGTCATAGAAGGCAAAAATAAAATCCCTACGTAAATTGTGAGAGCAAGCCAAGGAGACTGAAATTTTGAGAGGTGCCGGCATCAGAATTAAGATATTTAAATCGAGATGATTCTTCGCCATGGCTATGATACCACATTGAAAACGAGAAAATTGAGCATCTTTCTTCGTACAGGTATATATACGGGGCTTCATAGACAAAAGAAGAGAAAAATGCAGAAAAAATATCCGTAATACTGAGAAAATATAATAGCAATAATAGAATAATAATAATAATTCGTATAAATTCTACTATAAATAATTAGCACATCAGTGACCCAAAGATTAAAAAATGCTCTTTCAGCACTACAGCGGTAAGACCATGTGGCTATTATATTATTTGTTACTGCAATGAAATGACCTTTAATCAAATAAAATCAAAGCAATGAGCTAACAGCAATATATTTCATTGCCTGCAAAGAGGGGATATTTCTTATAAAGTTTGTAATGAAAAGGCCACAGATTACCTGTTACATTGCACCGGCGATTGCTTTGTCATGCTTGGCTGGAAGCTTGTTCTGTGCTGTTGTGCAATGGTGAGGTTGTTAGAAGAATTGTCCCCGGAAGCAGCTGAGGCTGATTGTGTGGAGGTGACAGCTGGAATTGCTGCTTTTGTGGCACGGCCATTGTGAGCTTCCACATGCTTTCTTGAACGATGACGGACACGATTAAGATGCCGCTCGCAGTACTTCTGATCAGCAATTGCATCCCTAGAACACCGCCATTTCTTGCCATCAGTTCGATGGCATCTACCAGGCTCCGGATCAGAACTTCCAGAGAAACCCGGATGAAAAGTTCCCCATGCCGCTGCAAAAATTTCACATGATGAACAGCAGCAAAAGAATGAAAAATATCCAACTGATACTTCTCACCACTCAATATACAATATCATGGGAACCACTAAGAGATGTTATGAATGTAAATATAAAAATTTTGGTATTAGACATGTGAATTCATAAGAATTGTGTGGTCTGGATATAAATGCACCAACAAAATAAAAGAGAGAGAGAAAAAAACGTGTTTACAACAAACTAGGAAGAAAAACTTCAATAGATGCGCGGGCATACAAAACAAATAAAAGCTGGCTTGTAGTCTCCTGCTCATAACTCGAGTTAGCAGAGGCTTACATGAGCTTGATGATCTCTTACAAGAGACGGCGGAATAAATGGGAAACACAGATAGATTGAGGCTTCTTCTGATTGGGATCAACAAACTTGACGGTATTGGAACTTTTGCATCAATATACTGGTAAATCAAAATTTGGTGCTCCAGTTCCACCCACTGAGAAGGAGTGAAGGGTCCTCTCATCCCAGCTACAATTCCGAGCATGTCAAAATTCGAGCTTCCAAGTCCCATTTCTGAATAATATAAAGCAATTAAATATGAGCACAACACAAAAAAAGGGATACTGAAGGGGAGATTCTTCTACACGGAGCAAAAAAATAAAATTAGAAGCGACATAGAATTGGAATGAGAGCTGGAAAAGACAAAATCATCTCCTGCAACTTTTGAACCTTTGATCAAGCTACATATATATGGAACGAGTTCGCCGCTTTGTCCTATAGTAATCATCCCAAGCCTTCAAAAGGTTTTTTTTTTCAAAAATAGGTCCACTCTCTATTCAACTTTAGAAGCTTTTCTGCTTATCAAAATCTTTTTTTTTTTTTCACTTTCATTATTTTTTGTTAGAAAGATTTACACATGTATTTTTAATAATAACAATAAGAAAAGGAGGCACCCAACCTTCACAAAAACGCGAACTTTAAAATCAAGGCGATCCAAGATGCAAAAAGAGGATAAATGACAATCCTTCTTTTTTTCAAGAACCCAGAACAAAATATCAAACGCCACCATGAAAGGACCATCCAACAAATCAATATTAGAATTGAGCAAACCGCTAAAATAATCAAGTCCTTCAACCACTTCACACCTCCACAAGCCGAAACCGAAGGCGAAAAAAATACCTAAAGCCCAGCAGAGTTATTAAACTTTATTAACTTGATGTACCTGCGCTCCTGAGGTAAGGGAGAGCTGATGAAGAAAATGAAACTGATGGATGGTGGTAGAACTGTAAGTCCCGATCAGTGTTGAGCGCCGCGGCATCTGATTTCCTGGAAGAAAAACTTAACATCTTCTCTCCATCAGGAAAGAGAGAGTGAGAGCAGGAGGATCTAAGGAAGCAAGGTACTTCCTTGCTGCTTTCTGCGGCCATCTTAGAACGAGTCCACTCATTCTCCTCAAGCACATCGCACGGTTCGCGCTTGGATAAGCCGGACTCGAACAGCACCCATTGCTTGCTGGATTCAGATCCTGAAGAGAAGAGAGAAGAAACACCTGCCAACACATCCATACTGAGAGAACCGCCATATTCCATGGCTAGGGTGAGGCAATATCTCAACGAAGAGGGATTTTGAGTTCATGAGATGCAGGGCTGAGGAACAGAAATGAGACGTGAGGGCGTGGCAGCTGGACGACGAGCATTTGCCAATCGGGCTGTTGGACTGCAAGCAGTATTTAACTGAAGTGTAATAGGGTGTAACCTTTAAATGGGATTAGATAAATTCTATAATTTCAGATTAGTGAATTGTCAGAGGTTTAAATCTTGTAATTTCATTGATATGTCCTTGTCTTAAGTTCTGTTAGATACTCTGAAACCATTTCACAGCTTATTTTCAAATCTAAATCTATTAATTGAACTATAAACTAAATATTGCAAATTAATGTTATAACTAGTAAATTTAATTATTATTATCATATTATACTAAATAATCTTGAACTAATTAATCATTAATAAACATTTTGCCAAACTAATTGATCATTCAGTAGTAATATAACATTAATTAATCAATTATAATTAATTATTTATAAAACCAATTATTTATTAATTATATTTTTATTAAACTAATTAAATATTTGTCTATAATTTTGATACTGTCAACAATAAATTTTGTTATTTGGCACAAATTTGGAGACAATTGACATTGACTCTTAAGTATTTTTAACAATAAATATTCAAATTCAAAGTAAAAATCATTAATAGCTCTAATTTTAGCAAATTTATAGTCAAACTGAGAGATGGATCCAATGAGTGCAAAATTTGGCTCAATTTGAGTCAATTCAAGCTTATTTCAAATCATTAAAACTACTTTTTAAACCTTTAGATGGCAAACTAGATGGTCAAATGAATAACAAATCTCGCAAGCTTATAGTTAAATTGAACGTCTCGACAAGACCATTTCAACATGCCCAAAATCACTCGATTCTAACATTATACAGAAAAGTTCGGATTCCTTCCTTATTTGTAGGAAGAACGCTCCCAAGTTCCACAAACAGAATCCTACCCCTTTCGTGAAAAGGGAACTAGGCCTTGAAACGAAAGACTTGGGCTTGGAGGAGGATTATTTAGGAGAAGAAGAAGCTGAATTCCAATATTCATCTGGACCAAAGACCAAATGAACGCTTTACTCTCTGACATTCGCCGACCACCGTCGACATTTACATAATAGTTAGACTTCATAATATTAATTTTAAGGTCAAATCATCTATGAATTTTAGATGTTTATAGTCAAAGTTTATATGATTGTTAATTCTAGCATCATTAAAGTATCCAATTACTCAAAAAATATCATATAATCAAGGGATCACTCCAACTCATCCAATCGAATATTTTGAGTTCTTTTGTTAAGCTCACTAACATGTCGCACTCAAAAGACTCTTATTTTCGATATATGTGATGAGTTTGGAGTCTAAATGAAGAGGGTTTAGAGATTTAAAGAAACCTAGAATTCCACTGAGTATTGTTATCAAACCACTATCTTATTATCGCCATGGAGCAACTCTCTAATTGCGAAGTCGACGTGTGGATAGAAGAAATTCCAAGGAGCGCGGACCCGCATATTTCTTTTTTTAAAAAAAAAATTCCCGGTACAATTTTTCATTACGTTGATAAAGATGACCCGCATATTTCTTTTTTTCAAAAAAAAATTCCCGGTACAATTTTTCATTACGTTGAGAGTCCGTACGTACAAGGGATAAAGGTAGATGGGAAAATCCACATTCACGTATAGTTGGAATGCATGAAGGACGGGAGAAGAAGAGGAAGAGGTCGACTGCAGCGACTGCCGCATGGAATGAATGTTGGAAATATCTCAAACACATTTGGTCTCAATTAAATGGTTGGCACGTGGGAAGCCATTCATTCGCCTATGCCTCTTTAATTACCACATGCTGCATGTTATCACCATCCATGCATGACCATTCGCGAGAGAGAGAGAGAGAGAGAGATTCATATTTCTAAAGGGTGAAGCGATTTCAGATGAGATATATTAAAAAGAATGTTCCAAAAAAAATTTAAAATAATTGTTGACCATGAAATAACAAAAAAAAAAAAAGGAGAAGGGAGAAAGAAATTTTTTTTTAAAATAATAATTAATTAATTAGATATTAATTATTAATTAATTAACTACTTATTTGCTTACCCCTGATCCCGCCAAAGTTTCTTATAGATAGCTTATCCCTCAATAATGCGGACCCAAAAGAAGATGTAATTTTATAACACCAACCCAAAAGAAGATGCAATTTTACAAAGCGTCTCTGACCATCCAATAAAGACTTCAAAGGCTCAAGCTCCTCGGTAGAGATCGAAGATTGCCAACCATGTTGGATCAACCAAATAATCCAAACCGATCAAGGCCAGCCAATCAAATTGTCCCCATCAAACCGAAGCCAACTAAACTTAACAACCTGCTCACTTATAAAATACCAAAAATACCCTAATGTGGAACCCTTCCAAACCAAGACAAAAATATAATATTACTATTATATATCTCTTCGACAAATATAAGAATCATTTCATGAAGATGACAATATTTATCACTATTCATCTCTCCCTCGCTCTCCTTATTTAAGACTATTTCTTGTACATGACTCAAAGACAAATTCTGATTCAGCAATATTAATTTATGAACCACTAATTTGAATTTATTTTATTTGATCGATAATTTTAAACTATTCCTTTCCTTAAATCATGGCTCTGCCATTATATATAACTGAATTAAATATCATAATAAAATTTCATTTGAATGTGACGGAGTACATATAGCCAAATCGTCCCAAGTAGAAAGCATGACATAGACCTTCAAAGAACTTGGAGCAAACCACGGCAACATGTCCTCAGCAATCACCCAGCCGCCAACAAAATCGAGTTCTCCAAAAGCAAGCACAGTAGCAGTTTCCAAGTCAGCAATAAGCTCTGTTTTAGCGAAGAACATAGCCAAACTAAAATGACGTCCCTCAAATTCAATGTAAAGGGTAAAGAAGAAAATGCAATACGAATACATCATGAGCAACTTCACGAGTTAGAACCCAAGACTAAACAATCTCGAAAGACCTCAGAAGCACGTTCCACTCCATGAGAATGATAATTACTTGATGCATTATCAGCTTCATTATAAAAATGTAATAGAAAAAGACTATAGTAGGCGTGCTCATAAATTATAATAAAGCATCAAAAAACAAAAGACGAGTCAAGAAAATGTGATGAGACGAAGATCCCCTTCCGTATCACATTTCCTGCTGGCAGCAAATCTCTGCAATTATCTATTGAAAAAAATAGTCTTACCAGCACGCAGCTCCTTAATTTATAAAGCCATTTTCTTCTTAGCACATGGGAAGGTTAACAATAGTGGCTCTTTTAGCATAATTAATTATCACAACGTGGAAAAGCATTGATGCATGTTCTTAGAATTGGGATTCGAGCATTAAACAATTTAAAGATTCAAAAAATAAAAAAATTGATTTGAGTAAAGAATTTTTCAAAAGGGAGTAGTTACAATATAAAATCAAGCCGATTCAACTATAAAACAGAAATGTTGGAAGCTGAATATAAGTATAAACAGACCTATTGGAAGCAAAGAATGGAACTCCTCCGTTCTCCAGGTTACATATGAAACAACATAAAAGTTAATGTCCGGATACAATTTCAATTTACGCAGCAAAGACTACAGTAGCAACAGAAACATACAAGGATTATATGAATAATAATATCAAGGAGGCAAAAACAGTTCAGAGGACTTCGAATCACTCAAATCTCAAGCCAGCCGGTCTCCTACACCATTGAACTTCCTAAAACCTAATAAATTCTACCAACCTTGTTGAGGCTGACCATACGTCCAACACCATCAATCTGTGAACCTCTTGCAGATGAGCCGCTCTGGTATGTCGCCCTCCCTCCAGTACTACTACCATAAGCATCCTGGTACCTTGAGCTGGAATAACCACCAGCACCAATTCGCTGTCCCGCCACACCCTTTTCCTTGGGAAATCCTACTGCCACTTGTCCCCCAGACCTGGAGCTCGTATAACCAGCTCGGCTTCTTCCTTGAGATGCAGAGAGAAAATTTTCCTGCCACCTGCCAGAAACTGCTGAGCCACCAAGTTCCTGTCCCTCACCCCTCCGTCGTGGAGGCAGTCCATCAAGTCCACCACCAGTCCTAACCTCAAAGGCTTTTTCATTCATTTCAGCAAGGATGCTGACCTTATCCGCCATCTGGAACAAGAGATCCTGCAGCCTTGTTTGCTCAAATCCATGGAACACAATACACTTTGTTGGTTGATCCCAACTGGCATGAAGCTCCTCTATGACCAACATCTTGCTAATAATGCTGTGAGCATGGGCATCAGAAAGACCAAATAATGCAGTAACCCGGTCAAGACTAAGGGATTTATAAAACGAGGAATAAGCAAACAGGTAGGTTCGAAGAGCCTCCTCCTTGATCTTTGTGCTAAGCATGTCGAGCACAGCCTCCCGGTTTCTAAGGAGCTTCCAAATGTCAAGAGATTTGATAACATCAAAGGCCTTGTGGTGATCTCCCTTGTTTAGGGCTCTGGTGGCAGCCATGACATGGTCTCGGACATTCTCAGGGGGGCCAACAAATGTTTGCCTCTCACTTCCGTCAAGGAGCCGACGGAATGTCTTGCTAATTATCTTGCGCTTAGAGTCATGGCTATTAGAAGCCATATTGGGGACCTCAAGAAGCATGGCGCAGATCAAGTGGGTGGCCTCAAGTAGTTCAAGATTTATGTGCATATGGTAGGGCATCTGACGACGTCTCTCAAGCTTTTCCTGGTAGCAGGAAATAAAAAAGAAACTGTTAGAGGTCTAATGAAGAGCCACAGCTGCTGCAAGATCAGACTTAGTTATAAGCTGATCGTTTTAGCGTAAATTGAAATGCAGAATGAAGTAGCTTCACAAGCTTTGCTTAAAAAAACGCTTGACAATGCAGGCAGATAATTTTCTTTAAAAATATTTTTGCTCAACCAAACAGCACAACCTCCTAAATGAAAACAAGAATGAAAACTTAATCATTATCAACAATCTTCAAAATACTAAAAAGTGAAACACCAAATTGCATTAGAGCCATCACAATCTGCAAATAGGCATAATGACCATAGACTGAATCAATAACCAGAAAAAAAATTTGTCATGCCAGCAAATATATAATAATAAATCCAACTCCGCTAAAGTTGCTGACCAAAACATTTATATGAGTTTGCTGCCTTGCCTAAATAAAATAGGCCATAATTATGCTTGAATGATTCTGAAAAGCTTCACCATTATACAAAGAGAATAACCCAGTATCTATGCATAGGCTATCATTATTATCATGAGCTCGATGAAGCGTTATGCATAGTGTCACCTCCCAAAAGAGCCCTTATGGGTGGTCAGATTCAAAAATCTATTTTCACCACTCATTACTTTGACTAAACAAAATAGGTCGTTAAGATGTCCAATTCGATAAAAAAGTTTGTGAAAAAATTACATCAACAGGTTATTGTTGTCCACTACAAGTTATAAAACTAGATTTCTTGGAAGAAGGAATGATAATCAGGCAGTGTCTAGTGATTATTCCTGCCCTCAAGGAAGAACGTAGATAAGCAGTAATGAAAGCACTGTTGTGGGGATGCATTAAATGTTTTAGAGTTTCCAGTAGAAATGCAATGAATATAAATGATGTAACAGAACAAAATATTAGGGGAACAAAGACCACTCATTACAACCAATAAAAGGATTCATGTCATGATTTTATTTCGACAAGTTTTACGCTGGCTGTCGACCACCTAACGCAACACTCCACTTTTCATATCCGGGCTTGAGACCGGCAATGGCAGTGTTCACCATAAAAAAAATAAAAATAAAAAATATTGCAATTTTATTTGTAAACTTGAAAGTCTATACAACTGTAACCGAACAAATCATATTGAAATTTAACTTCATTTGGGTTAATACAGACTAATTTTAAAATGGAATTCAAATAATTTATTTAACAGCCAACAGCACAGCATTGTCTTTAAAATGTAATCTAAATTTACATTTATTTTAATTTTAATTTATTTGCTCGACATCAAACAGTTTTAACGCATGTCAGGGCCTGCACTATCCAACAAATAGCAAAACTTCGTATTTTTAATGTTTTCATCCTCCATTGCAATGTAGTAATTTAATTAATTGTTATACTAATGTGATGTTCAAATGATGTGAGTTCTTTGCATAGCTTCTTAATCTGAGAATGTATGAGAAGTGCAGAGCAAAAAAAAAGTGAAGTCGGAGAATTTCAAAAGCTAATGGTGTCCTTGGTGAAGAGATGTGAAGGCCTGTAACATAGATTTCATCAAACCAATGAAGTACAGGAGATATTAGAAATAATAGATAAAGAAATAAAATGATAATTACGTACATAACACTTGAAAATTTGCTAACAAACAGTGCAACATTGTATTTTCATCATTTTCATCCTCCCATGCAACGTAGGCACTTAACTAGTTGTTGTACTAATGTGAAGCTCAAATGATGCGAGATCTTTGCATAGCTTCTCAATCCGCGCATGCATGAAAAAGTGCAGAGCAAAAACAAAAAAAAAACGAAGTTGGAGAATTTCAAAAGCTAATGTTGTCCTTGGTGGGGAGATTTGAAGCCCTCTAGCATGGATCTCAAAAAAGCAGTGAAGCGCAGGAGATAATAGAAATAAAAGATAAAGCAATAAGATGATAATTGCATACATACCACTCCAAACATTGCTATGTACAAAATTAGCACCCAGGTGAATTTTTTGCTCCACCAAACCAATGCATTTATACGGGCCAAAACCAAATCGTTGGAAACTTGTTAAAAAAAGAAAAATATGGATTATGTTTTTATAGTAAATTTTCATATTTTCGTGAAAATTAAAAAATTTTGAATAAAGGGGGTGCTAATTTTGTAAATAGCAATGTTTTGAATGCTATGTATGTAATTGCACCTAAAAAGAAGAGAGTAGAAAAAGCAACTGAGGGAGAGGGAGCTTCACGATGGAACATATTTGTGGAAATATGAGAAACTATTTCACTTCTTCCAAACAGACGTTTAATATATTTCTTTAAGATTAGCTAATGATATTTCAATAATTCATTTAATTTAGATGCCCATATGGTTTAAAAAATATACTGGTTTCAGTTTATAAACAATTACAAGCAAATTCATGGCAGACAAGCAGATAATTTGACTAAATAAACAAATACCTATACCTGGAACCACAAACAATTAGCAATGCTCAAGTGAACTAAACAATTATTGAAACATCCTGAAATGTAAAACCCTATTTGCCTTGACAGTACCGTGCTGAACATGATTAAAACATGAGTATTAAAACCCGAGAAGCATTCAAGTTCAGCTCCGGCTTGATTGAATTTATATTAATCAAATCAAGTACAGGTAATGGGATACCCAGCTACGCTATAATCTGTCCACCGTTCAAAAAAGCCCATGAACGTTTTTTCAATTAAATAGTACCAGCCAAATCCTTAACTTTTTGTTAAAAGTGGAACAAGGATATATGTGCAGCAGCAAGCAAGAAACGTGACATCAGCAAGACTCAGGCATCAGTCGAGTGAACAATAGAGCAAAAAGCAACAGAGACCTATAATTTACAATGCACCGATCCAGAGTTATGAGATTTTAACACAGCAAATCTGTCATTCAAATTTGCGTCAAAGAAAAGAGGAAAATAAAACATTCTGTTGTTCATAATAAAAAAAGGTCAATGCATCTGATAAACAACAGTTCCAACACCCCGTCAAGGGCACTCATAAGCAAGGTTGTGAAAATCGAACATGCCATTGAACCAAAAGAATGAGAGGTTCAAGATTCAATCCTTCAATTGAGATTGATGCAATAAATATTTTAATATAATTTAAATGATGTAATAATGTAAATATGTGCCGTATATGAAAAAATAAAAATACAAAGAACTTGTACAAGTAATATCTTTAATAATTATAAATTTAAAACTTGATGTAAAAATTATTAAGATATTATTATGTGTGTTATATATATATTTAAAAATAGCACTGCCGCGGATGCGAAAAGTGGAGGGTTACATTAGGTAGTCAACAACTATATATAAAATTTGTCGAAAAATCATTACAAGAATCATTTAACTCCTGCAAATCTTAGAGCGCCTTTGAAAACGACGCACTGTATGAATTAAATACAGTGAAAAGTGTGTAAGGGCCGCTACATCAGAGTCTGAGTATAGTATCAAATAAGCAAGGGTTTCCACATTACGGACGGATGTGGATTAAAAAGTTAGTCCATGAAATAAATATTAAAATAAGATATTAGAAAATAGGAACTTTCGCAGGTAACAATTAGTTGATATTATAGAAGATATATATTTTACGTATTCAAGAAAGTAAATGGGTTAGAGAAAAGGTTACGGAGATTGATAGCTTGGGTTTTAAACTTTGATATTCAGGTAAGAGTCTCACTAGAAATGATGTATGTGTAATTATAGATAAGAGTTTGAAAGATAATGTTGCAAAATTGAATAAATTTGGAGATTGAATTATAGGATTAAAGATTGTTATTGATATTAAAATTTTTAATGTTATAAGTGCTTATGCTCTTCAAGTAGGGTGCTTATGCTCTTCTCTTCAAGTAGGTTAGATATAAATTCAAAAAAAAATTATTGAATGATCTTGAAGAATTAACACAAATAATTCCTCTTGAAGAATGATTTTTTATTGGAAAAAATTTAAATGGACATGTTTGTATAGTGGTGGAATATTATAGAAGTATTCATGGTGGCTATGATTTTTAAGTGATTACTGAAGAAGGTAAAATTATATCAGATTTTGCTTTTGAGTATAATGTTATTACTTATAATAATGGATGTAATAAAATATAAATTGATTATTTCTCATGCAAACAAAAAAACATAGTGTGTAAAGATTGTAAGGTCATTCCAATAACAAATTGAAGTACTCAATATCGATTATAAGTTATGGATTGTAAAATGAAGAGGTGTAAGATAAAGAATATAAGAAAATGTTGTCATAGAATCAGATGGGGCCACCTAAAAGACAAATAAAATTACTTTCATAAGAAATTTTCAAGATTTAAAGATTTGGTATGTTCACGAAGAATCGAATTTTATGTGGGATAAAAAAACAAAAACTATTAAACAAGTGATAAAAGATGTGCTTGGAGAATCAAAATGAAAAGTTTTTTATAAATAAAAATAGATTGTGATTGAATAATAATGTGCAAGAAAAAAATAAAATATAAGAAATTGTGCTATAAAATTAGTTTAAATGTAAAAGTTTACAAAATTGGAAAAAATATAAGAGCTTGTAAGGAGTCTAAGAGAATAATTTGTAACGCTTAAAATTCAGTTTTTAATGATCTTTATAATAGATTAGATATTAAATATGACAAAAAATATATGTATAAATTAGCCAAACAAAGGGAAAATAAAAGTAAATATTTATTTCAAGTATATTAAAGATAAAAATCAAAATGTGTTTTTCTTTGAAAAAAATATTCAACATAGATAAGTGAGTTATTTTGATAAACTTTTCAAAGAAGTTTTGAAAAATACAATTAATCTTAGTGATCTCAATATCATTAATAATAATAAAACGTTTTATTTTTGTTGTCAAATTAGTAAAAAAGAAGTTGATGAAGCTTTAAAAAAAACTAAGGGTGGACAATCCATAGAACTTGATGATATCCTAATTTAAGTGTGGAAACATTTAGAAAGTTTGGGAGTTTATTGGCTTGCTAAACTCTTTAATATTATTTTTAAAAACTAAAAAAATGGCGGAG